ATAAGATTACTGACATTTAGAAATGGGAGGAAAGGAGCTAAAGGTGTAGGGAAGGTGTGATACGTAGGGGAAGAACAAAAAGGGAAAAGAAAAAAATGTGAGAGAATGAAAAGATGAAAATAAAGTGTTTGTAGATGGGGAGGGGAGGAGGGGGTGAAGGGAGGGCAGAGGTAAGGGGAAAAAAATGAGAATCAAGACTTGCCATGTAAAGGTACATGATCCCAACAATGAATGTAACTGTACTGTATCCCTAAATGTACCAATAAACTCAAAAAAAACAAAAACAAAAACAAAAACAAAAAACAAAAAACAATATAACCACCCCAGTGGCTACAGCTAAGACCTCCATTCTGTGCTGGGTAACCCTGCGAGTCTATAGTGGGATTACTGATAAGTTTTCGTCCTGACATAGCATTGGGTTTAGTTTTCTCTTACATATCTGAGAAATAAATAAATAATTAGAATTCAACTTGTTCTAATACATTTGGAATGTGGATATTCTCTCACATATATTTTATGATTCTGAAAATTGCTAGCTCTCATGGGTTTTATGTGGTGTGTACAAAGGGCCTCCCATAAAAAGCCAGTACCCAGGAAATCAACCAGAAGAAAGTTGGAGGAGAATATGAACCCAGGGAAAGATTCTTATGATTGCTTTTGCATGAAGCAATTCTTACATAGAAGACCTTTGTAGAAAATCTGTAACTGAAATCCTCAAGTCCTACAAGGCCTCTCAGGAATTCATTACGAATATTTAGTGATGAAAAGTTGTAGAACATAAACTCATGTTGCACCAAGTATATGAGCAGCCACCTATTCATTACCTTGTTTTTTCTGAATTTCTACTTTTGTACCATGAACTACTCCGAAACTTAGTGTCTTTAAAGAAGTACAATGTGTTCATAAATGTAAGGGTTAGAACTGGCAACAGATGCACTGAATGTCCTGCTCACTGTCATGTCCCACTTTTGATACTGCCTCTTTGCTGAGACTTCCAATGCAAAGTCAGCCTCCCTGTGTGTGTTAGTACTCCAGTTGTGTGAGTGGCCCTACATGCTTTTCCCCTTCTGTGTCCTTTCCTTCTTGCCATCCTTTCTTCTCAGTTAGTCAGCCTTGAACTCCTGCCAGGGCTTTAGAGGAAGAAAATCTATTTCAGGTCTTGGTAGGACAGTCACCTTCTGGAACATATGTGGAACTGAATTTACTACTATCATCATTTTAGGAGCCAAATTATGCCAGCCATTAAGAATTTATATTTGCTTTATCTCTTATCTCATGCACTCTTATCAATTCATTAAAATATACTACTTTACACAAGCACCTACACATTTTTCTATAAGTAATTCTGCCCACCTGTCAATAACTAAAGTTCATTATTTTACATGCATTATTCTTTGCAATTTAATGCTAATTTACATTAAGTAAAACACGGCATTCTTTGGTGCATGATCACTATACATCAGCAAATGCAGGAGCCCATGGAACTGGAGCATGTCTCCTTCACCAACTTCAGTCCTGGAACTTCCCACCCACCAGTCAACACTGGCTCCCATCATGCAGACATACTCATTGTTCCAGTTATTGTTCAACATTGCTTAGTTGTGCAGGTTCTAGAATTGCACATACGTAGAGTAATACAATGTGTCTTCTTTTGCAAGGGTTCTTTCAGTCAGCACAATGGTTTTCAAATGTATCTTGTTGTGTGTTAAAAGTTTGTGTCCCTTTATCAACCAATAGTATTCCACTGTGTGAATATGCTAGTTTGGTCATCCCGTTTCCAAGTGTTAACAATAAATCTCCTATTAAAGTGGAAATTAGGGTATTAGAAAGTAGAAAAACAGTGGGAAAAATCAGTGACACTAAAGGTGGTTCTTGGAATATGGACCAAAATTGAAGAGGCTTTAGCCAGGCTGGTCAACAAAAAAAAGAGAAAAGACTCAACTAGCTGAGACCAGAAACAAAATGGGTGACATTTCTAACATTCCACTGAAAGAAAAAAGATTTTTTAACAGACCTTATGATCAGTTGTATGCCAAAATGTTAGACAACTCAGAATACCTTTGTTAAAGCTTTGAATGTTTTAAGTTACCACAAGTAACTCATAAGAGATATAGACAATCTGGATGGGTTTTAATGAGAGACCATTGATCATAAAAATATCCATAAAAAGAATAGCCTCTAGTGGTTTCACTGCTAAATTATACAAAATATTCAAACAAGGTACAGTAAACATTCTTTGCAAAATCATCCAAAAAATAAGATAGAAGTGACAGTTCCCAACTGTCTTAGTAGGCCATTTCTATACTAAGAACCACACAAAAAACATCATAAGAAAAAAACTGCAAAGAAGTGTATCTTATGAAAATGAAAGTAAGAAAATCATCAACCAAATACCAGCAAAAATAATCCAGCAACATCCAGAAGGGATTATACTAATGACTGAATGGAGCTTATTCCAGGAAAGCAAGGTTGGTTTAACATATGAAGATCACTTAATACTATACACAACATAGATTTGTATTTAATAAGAATGTCATAATCAGAAAAAGCATTGGACAAAATGTCACAACCAATGGTTACAGAAACACTCAATAAATAACACAGAGCAGAGTATGGCTCAGTGATAAAGAATGATAAACTTGAGGTATTCATAGGTTTCAAGGATATAGCTTGAGAACATAATAGTAAGTGAAAGAAATCATACACACAAACTTAAATTCACATGCTTTCTCTTTAATGAGCAACAAACATTGTAAAAAGAGCAAAATAAAGAACAGATAATAGGAAATGAGGAGACAGATCTTTTGCAAATGGGAAGGGGACCAAATGATACAGGAGGGGTGAGGGAGAAGTGAAGAGGAAGAAAAAAAATATGCATTATGCAAATGTACAACTGCTCATGAGGAATGAAATAAATCATTATGCACTTCAACATCTACTAATAAAAATGGAAACTGAATGCCGGGTGTGCACACCTGTAATCCCAGCACTTGGGAGGCTGAGGCAGGAGGATGGCTGTGAGTTCGAGACCAGCCAGGGTTACATAGTGAATTCCAGATCAGTCTCAACTACATAGTGAGACCCTGTCTCAACCCCCGCCAAAAAAACATGGAAATAAAAAAAAAATCCTCAGCACTTTTTTATTTTGATTCCAGGGATCATACTTGGGCTGTGGCACTTATGAGGCAGGCAGCAGAACTATTGAGCTAAATCCCTGGCCCAGCCAGAGATTTATTCTCTTTGAAAAGAGAGAATAATTTCTCAAAACAACAGCTGAAAAACCTACATGTATCTACATGTAACTAAAGACTTCTTTAAAAATCTCTACAATTTGATACCACCCAAAAAAACCCAAAACAAGAAAACAACAACAACAACAAAACAAAACTCTACTATTTCACTAATCTAAGAAAAGAAAGGGAGAGTAATAACAAAATCCAAATGGTATAATTGACACTGTGAAATAGCAAGGAAAGGGCTAAATGTTTAGGGGAAGTGGGAAGTGGAGGGAAAAAGAAATAAGGGAAAAGGAAAAAAAACATGAGAAAATTTTAAAAATGGAAATAAAGTATTTGTAAATAAGGGAGGGTGGAGTGATGAAGGTAGGGAAAGGGTATGGGGAAAAGATGAGAACCAAGACCTGTCATGTAAAGGTGCAAGATCCCAGTGATGAATGTAACTGTACTGTATACCTAAGAAGTACCAATAAACACAATGAAAAAAAAATAAAAGAATAGACGAGTCACTCTGAGCTGGGTCCAGGGGTCGAGGGTGCTGGCATGGCTGTCCTCGTCCTTCTGATCCTTCTTGTGCAGTCCGGAAGCAGGGCTGAGATGAGCACGGCGGAACTAGAGCCGTCCTCAGTAACTGTGCCGATCAATGTTAGAATTCAGTCCTACAATTTGACCCCAATCCTGTATTGGGACTACCAGAGCATGCCCCAGAGTCCTGTTTTTACTGTAGAGGTAAAGTTCTATGGGCGGAAAATGTGGATAAATGCCTGCAACAATACATCTGATCATCATTATAATATTCTTAATGTGGGTGACCCAGATCTTCCTATATGGGCCAAAGTTAAAGCTAGAATTGGACAAAAAGAATCTGCCTATGTAGAGTCCAAAGACTTTGTCATTTGCGAAGAAAGAAAGATTGGACCACCTAAACTAACTGTTACACAAGAGGAGGACCATATCATCATTGCTGTAATTGACCCAGTAGTTCATTTAAATGGAGAAGGGCAGGAAGCCATGTATGATACTCATTAATCTACAAAGTGTACGTGAGAGAGAACACAAGTGAGACCACAGCACACGAACTTGGAAGAGATGACTACCTCTACACTCCATGCCAATTTAAAATTCCAGTGCCCTCACTGAATTCTGAGTACTGTGTTTCAGCAGAAGGATTCTTAGAGGATTCGAATATTATAACTGAAAGGTCAAAAGAAGTTTGTATTACCATTCACAGTAGCAGCATAAAAGCTTTCAGTGGTAAAAAGTGCCACTTCGGAGTCAAAACTCGAATCAAAGTATGCGTCATTCATCTCATCGTATCAGCCGATTACTGTGGAAAACGAGGCTGGTGTCTGTGGAGAGGAGGTGTCTGCAGGGACAGTGCTGGGCCCACGCAGTAAAGGAAAAGAGGGGTACAGCGGAGAGCTTTCCACAAAGATTGAGGCGCTGACGCCCAGTGTAAGCGGTTCCGACCTGAAGGAGAGCTTTCCACAAAGATTGAGGCGCTGACGCCCAGTGTAAGCGGTTCCGACCTGACGCTGACCGAATTCTGTGCATTCAAATAGTAACCAGTCGGAACCCTGTGGTGTAGCTGTAAGCTCCTATCACTCCCGAGATGGTTCCGATAGAGGCCTTGTGGGTTCAGACAGCTTCATAGTTGACTCAGAAATCCCCCCAAGCAATAAAGTGGATATAACGACAGAAGGACCAGAGCCCGTCCTGCGGAGGAGCGCCCCCACCTCCTCTGGTTATGATAAGCCGCACATGCTGGTGGGTGTGTTGGTGGGGGACGGTGGTAGCAAAGAGACTTTGGTTGGTTATAGATCTACAACAGATTCCAAAGAATTTTCCTGAGAAAGACTCAGACGCAGCATCTTGGCAGAGTCTGATTTTCGTGCTTTGATTTTGTGACGAGATCATGAGCTCTGAAATGGTGTCTAGTTGACATTAACCAAATGGAGTGATGTGGTCTGGACAGATGTGGAAAGAGCCTAGAGAGACTCTTTGAAAACAAACCTAAACCTGCTGTGGCGTATGCACCTTTCCATCTTGGGGGTCAGCAGTCATCACAAATACTCTCCAGTTGGCGCTGCTTCCTGTGTAACAGGGCACCTTGTTCTCTTCGCTCCAAGAAATGTAATGGGGATTTTTGCCTTTCTGTGCTTCAGTGTATTTGTTTCTATAAGTGGATGTGGATGTATGCTTTTATTTTTGTTTTGTTTCTAAACGTCTCTATTTAGAGACAGGGCCTTGCTGTATTTCCCAGGCTGGCCTTGAACTGCTGATCTTACTGCCTTGGTGTCCTCAGTGGCTGGGATTACAGACATGTACCACTGCATCTGCTGTATATATTTTTAGCACCTTGTTTTGGAAAAAACTGAAAGCTGTTCAAAACTGAATTTAAAAACCTAGGTGTACATGAATAGATAGATACAGTATATAAGTACAAACGTAGATATTTTATGGACCATTACACTTAGTTATTTTGAAATAAAGTAATTTAAAAACATTAAAAACATGAATAGATACAGTATATAAGTAGAAACATGTAGATATTTTATGGACCATTACACTTAGTTATTTTGAAATAAAGTAATTTAAAAACATTAAAAAAAAGAATAGACTTGAAAAATAGGCATTGATAATAATCAGACTAATACAATTCATTTATATAAAAATGAGTTTCTAATTGCTTTAAAACCTTGCCAACATTGGTATTATTAATCTTTAAATTTGGCCATTTAATGGGTGTGCAGCAGGATGTATATAAAGTTTTAACCTTCAATTTCCTAAAAACTAATGTGACTAAACATATTCTCATTGCTTCTATGTTGCTGACATGACTTTGAAAAGAACTAATAGCAGTCATATCTCATATATGATAAAAATTAAATGTTGGAAAGATATACAACCATTAATTTAAAAACATGTATTTTCAAGATGAGATTTATATTTATACTGATTTGTTACAATAAAGTTGAAAGGCTGATTTGTAATAAATTCTCCAGTATGATTCCACTTTAATTGTAGCTGTTTACTGTTACAGAAATTTCAAACCCCAAATCACAAGATTATTGTTTGCTTGGTTAGATAAATTAATTTTTATTCTATCATTATTATAGAATATTAAATTAAATGTTATTTTAATTCCATTTAATTTATTTGATATTATCAGGAAATATAATAAATTAAACAAATGAATTTATGCAGATCTTCTCACACATGGAGAAACTACTACTTTTTTCCTTGTATCAGTAATGCTTAAGTTAAATGGACAGATAATGTTTGATTCTTTTTTCTAACTTATTATAGCTCTCACGTGAAAAGGGTATCATGAGCACAAAAAAATCAATTAATTTAGCTGTTGGAGAGAAGGAGAGGAGTAGATACATTTTGTAGGGATTTGGGAGGTAAAGTCAGCAGAGCTGGTCACTGTGAACAAGGAGAAGAAATTAGCACCCCGAGTGCCAGCCTGGTACTCACCACCTGACTGCAGGCTCAGCTAGTTACAGGCAATTGGAAAGAGTGTTAAGTGTGAGGAGAGAAAACCATGAACAAGGGGTTAGCTGGGAACCAGTGGCCACATAAGACACTTATATCTAGGTGACAGTAAGATTCAGTATTATACATTCTAACATTGGATCTGATCTGAATTTTGAACTTGGATTTGATTTTACCAGTCCAGTATATTTGGGAAAATACATTAAACTAAGCCTCAGCTCTCTCATCTGTAAAATAGGATAACGGGATCATTGTGAGGATTAACAAGACAATGTGTGCAAAGCATTAAGCACAGTGCATGCAGAGTAAGCTCAAACAAAAGTAGGTTAGTATTACGTCAAACCTCCCAATATTTTCAAAGTACTTATGAATGGACTATTATATGTCTATCACTTTACATCTATCACTTAATATTTAAGGTGAACAGGTAGTGAATGAGTAAAGTTAATGTTACTGTTTTGTATTACAGTATAGTAATCTTTAACCTGAAACATCAAAATTAAACTTAGAACTAATATTTGTTTGTCTATAATAAATATAATAATTTA